GCCACTGCACAATGTGTTACCCGCGTATGAGAGAATTGCTTCATTTCTGCACCCTTGATTGAGTCAGGGGACGGCGGGACCCCAGACTAAATGTCATGCACCGATTCTTTTGGTAGGACCGAACTTCCGGATTCCCCGAGGCCATTGAATACGGGGGAGAGCTCCTGGAGCAAGAACCAAATTGTCAGAATTGGGGCTAACCATGTTAGGTCCAGGTATCGTAATATTATTATCATATGTATAATGCGTAAGCTTTTCTCCAACCGCACTTGGCTAGTCCAATTGCCTCAGGTAATGCTACCGGAGAGTGTGAATTCTCATGATGGGAGCACGATAACTTGCTGCTGAGTGATTTCTTTTAGGAGAGGCAAGGTGTCTTGCGGTCTCACATGGAAGCTGTTGGTCGGTCTCAATTGGAAACAACAATTTGGGGTAATTATAATAGACTGATAATGATGTCCACTTCCCCCTGTATCAACGATGGGCATGCAGGGGCCACCAAAGAATCCGTCTCTTGACTTGGGTTTCTTCAATAGGTGGTGGAAACCCTGACCGAGATCTGTTGTGACGGCATTGGGACCTGAGGATGATAGGTATCAATAGTGAACGGGGGTTGCTGGGTTACATATGCATTACTTTACTTACCAGGAGGCGGGCTCTGGCGCTCAGCGTGTTATTTTTACCAAGCCTTTTTTCATTGGTTTCGGTTTGCTTGCAATGGAGATGGCTCCTTGCTGCTGGTTTGGGGGTGGGCATCGTGCTAGGCTACTCAGCGGTTGTCATGTCTACTCCCGTGATGGAGGGCTCCTTTGGACGCAGATCTTTCGGGACACTGGCAACGTGGACTACACAGCAATCGCAGCTATCAAAAACTTTATTTGACTTGTCTTTTTTAATAGCGCAATCTAATTTCTGAAGTCAATATTGTTGAGCTGATATAAAAACTCTTAGAAACCTAAGTTGCTCATAAATTACGAATCTTCCTTTATTCTTACTCGTTTTGGGTGGGTGCTCGATGCCTGAGGCCGCGGACAATAAATCGGAGATCGGAGATAAGGAAATATCAGAAGTATGTGAAACGGGATTGGTTAAGGAAAGGAAGAGAATTCCTTGCTTTCCTCAGATGACAGATGCACCTAAAACTGTCCTGCATATACTAGCCAGCAGTGTCTATCTATATACATCAACATGACTCTAGCCGTTTCCCAAATCCGAATGTCCGAAGCAGTGCGGTATGTGTTCTGGCGTTCGCGCTTTCCGTCGCAGTGGAGTCATAGAACCGGCAATCGAGATAGCAAATAGACACTTTCCTGTCCCGATGGATTGTCCTAAGATTGTATCAGAAGCCCTCTTTGTGACCAAGGCCTCTATCTATCTGTGGATGCCACTCAGCGATATCTCATACTATGGGGTGAGATATTATATTCTATTCTAAGTGATGGGAACTTTAGAGCGACTTGGGGGTCGAGAGACTGAGGTATGGTTTGGTGCTGGGAAAAACATTTCCGGGGTTGGACTTTAGGGATTTTGGAAGGCTCACCTTTCCCTTTCCGTTTTCCTAATGCCTCCCCATGGGCTGGGCAATTCGACCACATCCGTCTCTCTCATTGCCTGGACACCAAATAACCAGAACAAAATGATTATAGTTAGGAAGTGATTTCTGCGTACCAAACAGGGCTTACAGCCCCTAGCTAGCTTGGATAGGGAGTTCTCTGATTCTCACTCATATAAACTCATAAGTAGTGCTTTGTATGCATGGATGCCCCCCTGGCAACGTTCGGACGAGGGATCTTACGACGGGGTGCTGAGGTGTAGAGCCCATTACCAAGACCCCCCGTTCAACAGAATGCTCAGAACCATTTACTTTCAGGTTCCAAAATCATCCAGAAATCTCGGCGACAGGCCCTGAAAATTACGACCAACTCAAAGAGTCCTGGCAACATTATCCGGGGATACTTTGGAATTAGGGAGCAAGTGATGTTTCATGATTTTAGATCCTGTGCTTGGTTCATTCAATTGCGTTGGGGAGTATTTTTCACTGCGGGAAAAAAATTGTTTTAAGAAGGATGTATGTTATATTTGGAGATATTACATACTTTGTGGTGCAGGAGTTGGTACCTGGTTTGGCTCCGGGGGTAGGGGGTTTGGAGGATATGGCTTTGTTGGGAGCACTAATCTAAAAGCTCTTGCCCCAGCAACTTCCGGTGTTTGTACAAATACTCGGGTCTGGATACATGCACTGCTCAAGTGATCGTCTCGGGAGAGTACTGCCTCTCTGTTTACCTTTAATTAGTACTGGTCTTCTCTCCCAGGGATGGTCCATAGAGAGTGTGATGCTCGGCCCTGCTCATTATCTGCTCTCTGGACCTCCTAATATACCACCTATCTTTATAGAAGGGGACTAAAGAATGTGGCGGTGGGGGTGAGATTATCGTACGGCAAGCGCAAATAGATGTGAGAAAATGGTGGGCTAACGGAAAGAGATTCTAGCTAAGGAAGATATCTCTCTCTCTTGGCTCACTAATAATAGCTGAAAATCGGTCAAAATCCTACAAAACATAACGAGTAAATGGAATGTAAAGAAATGGTTTTGTAATGATAGGGACTCGGCAGAAATACTGTGAAAGCAGATAGGCAATCCCCAATCATCAGGATAATCGACAACTTCAGTGAAAACCAATCACTAAACCCCATCCGATGTCAATCTGGATAGAACGGGGGGAGCGACGATCTTACGCTCCATCCAGCAGGTGTCGTACTAGTAAAAATATATCGCGAGAGTTTTGAAACCATGGTATTTCCTAGTACCCCAATCAGGCTAGCTCCAAAGGAAAATTTAATATCATAGTCAGGTAGCTGATGCTCCTCCACTCCATGTTAAAGATAATGCAGCATAAGGCCCACATGCAGAGGAGAGAGGAAAATAGCCATGTTGTAGAATATTGCGGGACAATGGGTGAAAAATTTCCTTTGGAGCTGGCTGGCTTGAAGTATATAGAAATATGTTGTTTTCGAAAATATCGTGATTTATTTTTATTGGCCCATGCCCTTCATATCCTGAAAAAGGACTCAACGCCGTTATGCATGGGATATGAAAACAGTACTCTGTACCCGTGTACCTTATAACCACCACATACCCCACGAGAAATCCAACAATTTCTACCAGTATATAGTTATCTGCTAAATTGTAGGTGTCGCTCCATAGAAGGTATGATAGAAGGATATGGATAGGTAATAGACCCTTGTGGGTCCCTGTAGGCTTTCACAATTTCCCAATAATCCCTTTCTCGTTCTTAGCATCTTTGCAGAAAAGACCAACGACATTGTTATCAGCTAATGAAGTATGATATAAAATGTCTAGAAATACTAATTTTTTTATCCGGAGCTAATCTCCGTTGAAAGGCCTATCTCAATCGCAGGGTTCCTAGGCCCTTTGTATGTAACTAATATTTATGTATCTCGGAGTTCCGAGTACCTATTTACTGTTGGATTACCTATAGGGCATGTGGTTTGGTGGATGTGATTCGGGTATGCGATTAGGCGCATAGGAGGTTGTCGGGCATGAGGTATGAGACCGTTTCTTTCGCATCCTATGCCACTAGGCATAGGATATATGTTTTTGGCTTTTGTCGTTTCTTTCACACTTTATGCTATTAGGCATAGGATAGTTCGTATGGGGAAGAGGGTTGAGGGATCATAGTGGATCATGAGATATCAGGATGGTTCTAGATTGTTTGAGATCATGATTCATTAGCTTGGTGTGTTTCTTTAGAGTTCGTTGAGTTTTTGGAGTTTGGGAGATAATATCGCCGGTCCT